TGTCATCCTCCTTTAGAGTGTCATAGTGATATTCACCGAACCACAAGGTGTAGCTAGAATATTTGTAATTATGAATAGTTTTAACAAATTTGAAGCACAAATATTATTAAATATGACATTGAACACACTAAATTGGATGGATAAAAAGATGTAAGTTAATTTATATAAATATTGAAAACCCATCTATCCAACAACAAAAATCCATACCACCCCTCTGAACTCCTAAAAGTTCATACTGGCCCCTCACTCTCTGATCAGGCATAAAATAGTCCACCGCAAAAAGAGCGAGACTAATCGTTGAATTCTCATATATTCCACTACTTAAATAAGTTTTAAAATATTCTAATATCTTTAAATATGGTTTGATTTCATTAATTTGTTCTGATTTATCCGGTTTTACTTAAGGTGAAAATAAATACGAATAAACAAGTCCTTACTCTTTAGGATACTTTGGAGACCAAGGGTTTCAGACTGAATCGAAGCAAGACTGTGCATATTGAGTGCAAGTTTGGTGGATGTTGAAGTAGTAGTAACAGTGGGATTACCCTTAATGGCAAGGAGATATCAGTGTGTGATATGTTCCGTTACTTGGGCTCTACTATAATTTAGGAGGATGGTGAACTAGATGAAGATGTATCGCATAGAATCAGAGCAGGATGGATGAAGTGGAAGAGTGCATCGGGATTTCTATGTGATCGAGATCTACCAACTAGAATGAAAGTTAAATTTTATCGGACAACAATTAGGCATGCACTAATGTATGACGTAGAGCGTTAGGCGGGAAACAATATCACATTCAAAAGATGAGTGTGGCAGAGATGTGTATGTTACGTTGGATGTGTGGACATACCGGAAAAGACCGTTTGAGGAATGAGATAATCAGAAAAAGGTGGGGGTAACACCTATGGAAGATAAGATGCAAGAATCTCGATTACGGCGGTTTGGTCATGTGCACAGAAGACCGAGTGAAACACCTGTTAGACGATTTGAGAGGTGAGGAGAGGAGGCAAGTAGGAGGAAGAGGGGAAGACCCAAAGAGACTTTGGAGAGAGCAAAGTGGAGGGCAGAGCCAGTTTTCAACATGTTCTCTAGAACACGGCCCCCCATATATGGGGGGCCCATTTTTTCAATATTAGTATTATAAATATTAATAATTATAATAATATAAATAAATAAAATGAGTATAAATCGGCAAGTGGGCAACCAGTCTAGGAGTTATTCGTTAAAAAAGAGACGTGGAACAATCGACACCTCGTTTCTAGCAGGCGTAGCAATTTCCCGCTAATCACACATATGACCAATAGCTATTTCAATTTTCAAATAATCAAATTCAATTGCCGTGGGATTGGAAATCGGTTCATACTCTGCAGCTAGCGGCTCTGGGGTCCCGACTCTACCTCTCCTACTCTCCAGGCTCTCATCTCTGGTGCTCTGTTCTCGCAATCTGTCTTAAAGTTTGTACCTTTTTCTCACTTTTCTCGCAATCTTGCCTATTTACCTCAAGCTTTAATCGCATGTTGCCATGTTCACTTCAGGTTCTTACTTTTGACCTTCTTTTCACATTTGTTATTGACATTGTTAATTTGCTAATTGCTAATCTGTATTTGTTAATTTCAGAAATAAAAAATTCAGCTTTTGTTATTTTTAATTTTGTTGAACTTTGTGAGTTTTTTATGATTTGTGATTTTAATTCTTACGTGGGCCCTATTTTGGTATTTAGAACAGGGCCTCTAAATTTATTAGACGGCTCTAGTGGAGGCTGCATAAACGTGTGGACGATTAATCTCTTCTCTTCCTTTATCTCTTTTATCATTTATCTATCTTAGATTAATTTGTTATTTTTATCTTATCCATCTTATCTTACCTATTCCTTTTATTTTCCTTATGTTTCTTCTCTGTTTGGCACTGATATCATGGATCAATTAATGTTAGCTGACCCCAAAATCTTTTGGGAATAAGGCTTGAATGTTGTTGTTATTGATCTCCTCTGGTCAAATCAAATCCGTCTAAGTCTAGTATGATAGATGTATGCTCTATGTGTCTTTTTACAAGTGTTGAAGTCTGGTATAGTATGATCTGAACTGGTTTGTTCTGATCCGATTTGTTTAAGTTTCATGTGATCTAATTTGAGACTGAAACCAACCCACTTAAAAACATATCATTATTTTTTAATATAAATGGGATGAGTATGGCACATGTCATTTTGACACGTTGAGGACCCTTTAGCTGTTACAAATTTGAATAAGCCTATTATTCATACACACATAAACAGTATCTAGTGACCATATTTATACAGATACGAAAATAAAACGTTCGCTTTATCATTTTAGTTTTACTTACTTTTAACGAGACTATCGAGACAACACGGTCCTTGGCGTTTTTGGATGAAGCCCCGATCTGACCTGGTTATTTCAGAGTCTGGGCTGGCTCTGTGTATTCAATCGATTGGGTCCTGGTTCTGGACCCACTCCATTTATACTTTTTAAAATTTTGCCAAGTACCAAGGCTGTACCCAAATCTATGAACCGGGACCAGGTAGCCCTCTTGGGCGGCAGGGTACGTCCTTGGCCCGAAACTGGAAAACGGACCCGGTCTAGGCCCAAACAACGCCGGACCCGGTTCCGGACCGGGCTAGACCGCCAGACCAGATCCATGCCTATTCCAGACCCAACTTCATCATTTTTCATGCCCCCACCAAACACATATTGCTTAATCTTTTACAAATTATGTGCTTCTAAAGTCATCGAGTCGTTAAACCATTGAGGATGTTTTCTTTTGGACTGAATTTGCTAGTCTGGTCTGATCTAGTCTGGTAAACGTCTAGTCTTTGTGTATTTTATAAGGGAAAAGGTACATATATACCCCTGTAATATAGGTGGGGGAACAAATACACCCCTAATCTATTTTTCGGAACAAATATACCCCTGAACTTTTAAAAAGGTGCAAAAATATCCCTCATTTTTTATAAAGGTGCAATTTAATCCTTACTGACTTTAAATTAATCAAATAAATTTCAAAAAAAGACCAAAAATAAATTAATAAATCGAAATTAAAAAAAATTAAAAATGTAATTGATGGATAGTCTACTCGGGGGGTATCTTATCCGAGGGGTTATTGTGGAAATAACTAGAGAGAAGTCAGAGCAAATAGGAGGAGAGAGAGTCGATTTTATTAAATGAACTCAGCGCGTCTTACAAGGAGAATAAGGGCCGCTATTTATAGCAGCAATAAATGTGATGAGAGTACACGTGTCAGAAATCCAACGGCCGAGGGGTCACATCAATCGGGGTGGCGCCGGCAGTGGCATGTTCACCGTATTGAATGCGGTGGGTGGATGTGACGTCGCATTAAATGCGGTAGTTGGCTATCTCCAAAGGGAATCTTCGATGATTGAGTCTGTTCAGCCGAAGGCTCTTCACGCAGCCGAGGGCTTCGTGTAGCCGAGGGCTTCGTGTGGCCGAGGGCTTCGTGTAGCCGAAGGCCATGTGTAGCCGAGGGCTTTCCTGATGCCGAAGGCTCCTTTTCCTGCCGTTTTCTCCCAGTAGCTTCGTATGTCCAAAAAAGGCTATCCTGTGAGTTCTAGAGCCTTCGGCCATGGATGCAGAAGGCATCCCAGTGCGTACTTTGGGCTTCTTTGAGACTTGGGCCGCTGTATTTTTGCCTCAGATGCTCCTTGGGCTCAATGGGCCTTTGTGAGGGAAGTAGGAGTCTATGGGCCGGGGGTTCCTGGGTCATATACTCCATCAGGAGTCCCTCACTCCTTTTGCCGAAAGGTACTTGAGGGAAAAGGAGTAATTGTGTTGATTCTCCCGAAGGCTTCGTTGTTTGTTGGGTGCTTTTGACTGATCACTTGTCTTCTGCTGTTAGCCGAAGGCTTCCCTCAGTCCCTCACATGTCGAGGGTTTTCTGAGGAAAGTGTAGATAACATCTGTATGTGTTGTGATGGGGGCTGCTTCATCATTGTCAGTGACTTGGGGAAATTTTGATATTTTGCTTCTGCCGAAGGGTGTAATGATGTAATGATGTATGTACCCGAGGGCAACACGCATTCTTATAGGTTTTTTGCATGTGGGGATTTTTAGTTCTGTGTGATTCCCGAGGGGTGTATCCCAAGGCCATGTGTAGCCGAGGGCTTTCCTGATGCCGAAGGCTCCTTTTTCTGCCGTTTTCTCCCAGTAGCTTCGTATGCCCAAAAAAGGCTATCCTGTGAGTTCTAGAGCCTTCGGCCATGGAGGCGGAAGGCATCCCAGTGCGTACTTTGGGCTTCTTTGAGACTTGGGCCGCTGTATTTTTGCCTTAGATGCTCCATGGGCTCAATGGGCCTTTGTGGGGGAAGTAGGAGTCTATGGGCCGGGGGTTCCTGGGCCATATACTCCATCAGTTATTGTGTTCATTTCTTCCTTTATTGTTTTTATATCACAATTTAATATTCTAAGTATAAAATATTATTTCAAAATATGTAATTTTATAGTGCAAAGAATGCAAAAATTAATTTTTCTCTACTTTGCAAAACATATGTTGCACCTTTTCGAAAGAATCTTAAACATATAGTAAAATTTTGAAATAATATTTCATGCTTAAACAATATTAAATTGTGATATAAAAACTATAAAAGGGAGAATTAGACACTATTACATTTTTAATTTTTTTTAAAATTTCGAATTTATAATTTATATTTGGTGTTTTTTGAAATTTATTTTATTAATTTAAAGTTAATAAGGATTAATTTGCCCCTTTATAAGAACATGAGGGATATTTTTGCACCTTTTTAAAAGTTCAGGGGTATATTTGTTCCGAAAAATAGAACAAGGGTATATCTGTTCCCACACCCATACTACAGGGGTATATTTGTACATTTTCTCATTTTATAACTATGTAAGTCTGGTCTGGGACTGAAAACAGTCCAAAAGAAAACATCCTGAGTAACTTAATTTGTAATAGGATTGGGTAGACTCGCGACCCGCAAGGTCTACAGCCGAGTAGAGCAAGCATTCAACTTACATGCCAAATAAATAAGCATGAACAACACTTGATTTCATGAACAAACTAACAAGATCAGATAAAATATGAACAATTTTGAGGGTAAATATAATGTGAAGTAATTAGAGTTTGTTTTATACACGAAGTAATTAGAGTTTGTAAGAATAGTGATACAGTAATTTCCTATTCTCCTATGTGGGCAGTGGTCCTTCCAACCGATCTGGTAAGGCACACAAACTTAACCTGTATAATTTCGATCTATAGCTACAACCTGTATTCTTTTCTAGTGCAAGTCTGTGTGTGTTAGGCTAAAAGGGGTTCAGCTAAGGGCTTTATTTGCGGTGTATGGAGTTTCATGGAGCAGGTGACAATCACACCAGCAAGAGCACAAATTGCAGGAACAAAACCGACACCATACCGTGTTATGGAGAGACTAGTGTAAGCATGATTATAGCTTCCTCTACCCAGAGCTGGTGTTGAGTCTGCAAAATTTTACACAAATGGTAACACGTTAAAAAAAATAAGGGAAAAAATGTTAAAAGGGAAAAGATTGGTGACAGAAACTTACTCTGTAATGACTCAAGAACGAACAGTGCCACCCCACATGACATTTTGTCCATAAAGCTCAACGACCCATACACAAAAGCACAACCATTAAGGTCTTCGCCAACCAGGACACTTTGCATGCTCACACCAGTTACCTGTTTACACAAAAGCATAACCATTAAGGTCTTCATCAACCAGGACACTTTGCATTGATAGATACCAGAATCGAAGGAGGAAAATGGTTGTTTATTATGAACGTAATTGATGAACAGGAATGAAACGATACAGGTTTAGGCACTTCGAGCAGCCTATCTCTCCCAGAATTTCCCAGCCCAAGTCTAAAATTCTGCCTTCCACTTTCCTCCCTTCCTTCTATCTCTTATAGTACTCTATTCTAACGGGCCAGCCCATATTATATGACATGGCCCAAAATACTTATTTATACAATACCAAACTTATTCAATATCAATCTATCACTATTATTATCATTATTCTCTACAGCCCAGGGCCCTATCATATCTCCCCCCTTGAAAAACCACCTTGTCCTCAAGGTGGGCGATAGGACACAGCCTTGATCTTCTTGATCTTGAACTTCCTCTTCATCCTGGAGCCTCTTCCTTCCCAATATATTGTTGATTTTTGTATCCCTATCTTCAGCACTTGACCCTTAATCCTCACTTCTTCAGACCAGCATTTCTCTACGATCTTCTCAGCCTTTTCATAGAGCTCATTGTTGTCTTGAATCTGGAATTTAGCAGTCTTGTCTAGTCCTTCATAAGAGTCAACCATCTGCACACATAACTTGACCCCACTATTCAACCCAACTTCTTTGTCCCCTTTGCCTATTTTCAGAATGTTCTCCAGCCCTTCAAGGTATGCAGTAACAATTCTTGGATCTTGGCATAACAAGTGATCAGAGAGCATCTTAATGCAGCCGTTACTTATCAAGCACATATTCTGATTATGAGAGCCTGCAGGTTCTTCATAACAAGATATAGCCCCTGCAGCTTCTTCCTTGCTGTAAACTTCTTTATGAAGGAGGTGTACTAAGGGAATATTGATAGATGCCGCAATAATTGCATTTATAATATTTCTACTCCCAGCAGTGATATTAGGTATTGTCCAACAAACTTGAGTCCAGACTTCTTCTTCTTTCATAGGGACGAATGGCTGATAAACTGGCAATACACCTTTGAAAAGGGTAAATGGAGTTGGTGTCCTGCATCGCCATGAGTTTGATAAAATCCCTGTAGAATTTATCAACATAAAAAGCTCTGAATGCTCATTTGACGGAACTAGCAATGGTAGGATTGCACCATGACCAAGACCTTGATCGCTACAACCTGGGTCATCACAAGAAACCTTTCCTAAAGCCCAGGTAGCCTGCTCACGAAACTTATCACTTGGAGGGCTGTGTTCAATCGAAAACAGCTTTCTTAATGGTGTCGTTGCTTTAATTCTTGCAAATGGGTCCTCTGTGGCTTCAGCAACTGTCCCTTCAAGCACAGTAGGCTTTGAAAATGAGCTGGCATCAGTCACCAAACTATCAAACACTGTAGAAACAACCTTAAAACCTTCACTATTAGGAACTCCAGAAACAACCTGCTCTGGTTTCAGCAACACAGTTGTAGGTGGTAATGCACAGTTGTCAGCAACTTTCAGATGTTCAGAATAATAACCTTGATCATAGCTCAAACTATCAAACCCCGCAGAGAAATTATTTTGGTTTTGCATTTCAATTTTGTCCCCCTTATTCTCAGACTTGGATTCATTCTCTTCTATTTCCTCAGTCTCCTCTATACAAACAGTCCTGGTAGAGCTTTCCCAAGTATTTGAACCAACCATTTTAACAAGGGCAGATTCATATTCCATGGTAATGGACTGAATCACCACAGAAGTTTTATCCTCACGTTCCTCATCACTTTTGATGAATGTATCCTCAGGTGATTCCTTAAGGTACGATGAAACTTGCGCCATATGAAACTCTGATTGGGCTGAAATCTGCGAACTGGGAGGTTCATATCTCGATTGCATCTTCATTAAATTGGTTGCCGAAGCCTGCGAACTGACAGATGTTGTTGGCGATAATTGTCCCTGGCATTCATTGTCACTCTCGTTGAACTTAGATGCGTCTTCTCTGACTCGCTTTGAACTCATCTCCTCAAGAGTTTGCCGTTGACTCACATACTTATGAGGAAATGATGCAACTGATTGCGAACTGCGAGAAGACACCTGAGAACTAGAAGAAGTAGTTTCTCGCGATTTATAAAAAACCTGTGCAGTTATCAATAATCTGGAACTGAAGGAAGTTGTTGGCGAAGACTTCTGTGAACTGATAGAAGTTCTCGTCGATGATTCCTGATTCTCGTTCTCTGTCCTCTGACTGCGTATAGGTTGGAAACGCAGCTTTATGGCTTCCTTCAGAGCCTTCCAACTCTTTTCAGTCGTTTGAGTATACCACCATGGAAACCAGGCTAATGCTCTTTCCTCCATCGCACCTTCCGCTACTACCACCTTATTTTTTTCAGCAGTAGCCTTGAGACGGAAATACTCTTCCATCTTAACAATCCAACTGCCCGCATCATCCCCCTTAAACCGCGGTAATTCAACCTTTCTTCCAGTATGAACAGGTCTTCTACAACTGTAGCGATCTCCACTTGAACGAGAATGATCGGAATTGGGCGATGCAAGCTGCACGGATGAGAAGTGCGACGCGAACTGGTTGAGCGATCGATTCCTCGATCGATTTTCGTTACTGTTCATCGTCGCAATTGTTTCCTCTAGTGTCGCCAACTTCATCGCAACTTTTTTCACCAAGGTAGGGTTCCGCTCTATGGTTTCCCTTCTGTTCTCCATGTTTGGATCTCGTCCAGACCTTCCACAACTGAAACGGAGATGGAACGAAAAAATTTCTGATGTTGCGTAACTATTCCAATCACCAGAAACGAACTTATGCTCTGATACCAATGATAGATACCAGAATCGAAGGAGGAAAATGGTTGTTTATTATGAACGTAATTGATGAACAGGAATGAAACGATACAGGTTTAGGCACTTCGAGCAGCCTATCTCTCCCAGAATTTCCCAGCCCAAGTCTAAAATTCTGCCTTCCACTTTCCTCCCTTCCTTCTATCTCTTATAGTACTCTATTCTAACGGGCCAGCCCATATTATATGACATGGCCCAAAATACTTATTTATACAATACCAAACTTATTCAATATCAATCTATCACTATTATTATCATTATTCTCTACAGCCCAGGGCCCTATCATGCATGCTCACACCAGTTACCTGTTTTACACCATCCATCCATATACACACACATATGCAATTTGAAAGGTGAGGTCTGATAGATCAATTAGAGGATGCAATAAACCGCCCACAAGGTGAGCCGGGAGAAAATTCATTAGTGTATTTTTTTACGCAAAATACAAAGGTATTTACCAAACTTGGGGTCCACCCCCCCCCCCTCCCTACTGCACATGCACTTATGTATCTAGAAATCAAGAACTCTAAGAGTATAGATATGAGATATCACATTATTTACAGTGACCTTTGATGAAATTTGTGCTTAATGCATTTGAAAATTCAGTAACTGTGGAAAGGATAGAGTCATGGTTGACAAACTAGTACCTTTACTAAGCCTACAACTGTGACCCCAGCCACATAAAAAGTCTATTTTATCCCAAAAATTCACTTCATCAAAATAACAAGGACATGCGACCTCATAGACTTTCCACATGGTTGCTGTCGCACTTGGGGGTTTAGTAGAGTTTTTCTGAAGGCATCAGAGTCACCCGTCGGATGCCAGGCGAGCGCCTTGCTGCCCTGCCCTTAATGTATCTAATTGAAAAGAGTGTTAATACCCGGTCCAGTCCATCAATTATACAGCATTATAATCTGGTCCTTGGACTTTTTAAGGCTCAATGTGGTCCCAACTGTGCAATTTGGAATAAATTTAACTCTCATATGAAGTGCATACTTGAACATGCTGAATGAACACTTAATGACTATACGCGAACTTTGACCATATGAGCTTTCTTATTCAGTCAATACCAAGCTCTAAAACACTACACCTTTATGTTCATTAAAGTGTTCTGTGCATGGTCACCTATGTTCCCTTCTAGTCCTATGCATGGTCAATAACCAAAATGAGTCCAGGAAAAGTTGAGGGCCAAATTGATAAGTAGTATGCATTCGATGCACAAACTCAGGTATTATCTCTTAAAAAAAGACATTAATGCATGCAAATATTATTACTATAATTGTAACAAAGGTCTGCTATATTTTCTAAAATAACAAAATAAAAAGTGAAGATCACTATCAAAGTGTTAGTTGAAGGGACCACCTCACCTAGGAGAGCACAACGAGCGCCTACAGGTCTTCACCTGAATAAGGATGTTTTTACTTGGACTGTTATCTGCCCCAGACCATACTAGACCAGACTTGGATAGTTATAAAAATACAAAAAAACCAGACCAGACCTGTTCAGACCTGTTCAGACCTGACCAGACCAGCAAATTACAGTCCAAGTAAAAACATCCTAAGAACAAAGTATGAGTTTTCGCTTCAGCTTAGGGGCGTCTAGGTCAATTTTAGCAGCACCGGATAGAACAGTCTAGAAGTAGCACGGAACAATCAGACTATGATACACACAGACATACCATCATCAGGGCATTCGCAACACCAATCACGACTGACAGGATGTACATAATGGCATTCATATTTCTTGGGAGCAACAGTATTCCTATGCCACTAAATATCCAAAGGAGGCCTCCTACACTATAAAAGACTTTTATCCGTTGGCTAGTCCAGGTTAGCTCCTACATTAAGAATATGTGGTTAGGAAGACCAAAAAGGAAGAGGGGAGGGTGGGAGGAGAATTTCATAAAAGTTTAAGGGTTTGTTTGTACCCTGGAAAAGACTATAAAAGAAATTATAGAGTAAAATTTCAGAGAAAGAAAACTTCGAGAAAACAACAGATAAGCAAAAACTCAGTTGATTTATATCAGAATATTTGTTCAAACTTTTTTCTGCTATATAAAAACTAAAAAATATAAAGATTTTTAAGAATAATGATATATTGCTGTCCGTTTTTTTATTTTACAAAGGAAAATAAAGCATAAGAAAATAGCTTTCCTTAACATTTGTTTTACAATCCCTAGCATTTTCCAGGATCCAAACATACCCTAAAGAAGAAAAGACTCCAGGAGTACTAAGGAACCTGTAGCACAACAGAAACAATGAAGCTCCAAATGTAGATGATGGCAGGGACCTATCAATATAATAATATGAATTAAAGTACAGCTGCATAGCACCTGTTCTAGGAAAATCATATTCCGAAAAGAAGATATCTATTAATTGTACAAAAGGTGGTGCTAGAATACCAAAGCTTTTGCAGAGTGGCTCATTTGTAGATCATCGGTAACATAGAAAGCTAGAAATGACTGGGACAACAAAGATGTTTAAATGTAAATGAATCTAAAACACTGCATGTGCACAGAAATAATGATGCATTTAAAAGATAAAACCATAAGTTTATACACTGACCTGTGAAACATTAGTAACAAGTCTTGTTAGCACATAAACAAGAGCAACTTGGTGATAAAGAATTTTCTTAAACCAATAACTCCAACAAATTCTAACATAGCCATTAACATGAGCTTTTTGTTTCAATCTGAAGGAAAAAAACGAATCATAGGAGTGAGTGCAATGAAATTTATGATTTTGCCCCTAGAGATAAGCACACAAAGTTGGGATGAATGATTGCATAGATTAAAATACTATCAGAAACATTATTCCCAAAATTGAAGAATAATATTAAAGGGGGAAATACTTTTTTCCTATTTCATTTCCTCCCATCACACTAAATTGGTTTCTATTCTCTATTCTTACAAGTCATATAATAAAATATGAGTTTGTTTAACAATGCATCAGAAAATCTGAAAATGATTGCATTATTGCAAAAGGTAATACTACATATGATATGAGTGATCTCTTGAGTGATGGACAAAAATTAAGACAGTTGACAAACCTTGGTTCTTTAGTTCCAAGAAGAAACATGCCGACAAAGCAACATCCAATGAAAATTGAGACATACGCTATCCAGCGGTACTGCTTATACTCCCAACATTAGAGCATGTCCACTAAAATAACTAAAAAAAGGAGTAACTATGTATACCTGATTCTCAATAGCAGCTACTTTCCTTGAGGTGTTCATGTTGAATACAATAAAAGCAACTCCATACAAGCTGAGGTTTGCAACCTGTATAGAAAAATGCAAATCTATTAGCATATTTCAACAGTAAAAGAATTATTTAAATATTAACTATCTGGAAATTGCATACCATTGTAAAGGCATTGCGACAGCTAGCTAACACGACTCTGCTTGTTGAATTCAAAGTGATGCAATTCACCATTGACCTGCAGCAAGATAAATCCTTTTTAAGTAACCCAGTTTAGAGATAATATTAACATTTTTTGTGCAATTGTGTAACATTTTTTTGGAAGGGAAATGATAAAAAGCTGGCGGAAGATAAAAACTAGTACTCCCTCCGTCCCAGCTTAAGATTCCCACTTTCCTTTTTTGAACATCCCAACTAAATGTTCTCATTTCTATTTTATGAAATAATTACCGCTCTTGAATGCTAACTTGATCATAAAATATTAAAAATAATACACCTATAATATCACAGCTATCATCAATGAACCCATTATATTATATACCTATCAAAACTACTGAAATTGCTTTATTTAATTATTGTCTAAATAATCGTGCCATTTTTCAATAGGAAACTTAACCTGGGATGGATGTAGTACTTGTCAAGCCACTATTGATTGTTATCTTAAATATCACCTAAAGCACATATCTATAGTAAGGTGTGAGACACGTATGGACTATTTCTCTTTTCACGTCAAGAGACCACATTAAGACTACCAACACACACATATAAGCATGTGTGTGTAACTGTGTATGACATGTCACTATTTTTATCATGTGAGAAAATGCAAATGAAAAGATATCAAAGGATCCTATATTCCTATTAAAATAAGAGCAACAGGCAAGCAACAGCCCTTTAAAAAAGATAGGTATATAATGAATACATAGAGAGAGAGAGAGAGAAACGGAAAGTGACCAAGTTACATGTGTGATACTTGAGCAGCAGCCCAGCCGATATTGAATATTGCAGCAAACACACTATACCCAATAGTTTCCAAAAGAGATGAATTAGAACCAAATATTTTGCAAGGCAAGCAACCACCAAATACCGATGAAAATGAGATGGCAACCAATAGAGATCCAGCAGCATGCCATGCTTTGAAATGTCCAAATCTATCAATCTGTTAATAAAAATGAATAACATCATATTCAGAATAACAGTTTGTGAAGTCATGCAAAATGATATCATTATAAGAGAAAATGCAATCAGCAAAACTCAATAAATCCTGAAAATTCTATCACATTTGACCTTTAATTCGATGCAATAAAGCTTCTTTACAGAACAAACATCTCCATTCGGAAGTATTCAATCATTTTAATCAGTCAATGCCTTGAATGCGTTAAATTTCTTATGATGGATAAAAAGCAAGTTGGTTTTGCTTTAATGCCTTACTAATATCCACTAATGCCGAAACTACTCAATATTTTGTATACCTTATTTAAGTGGCATTGACCTATAGATTTTAAGCTATTACAGAAGCAATTTCTATATGTGTAATTTGAGGATATTGAGAGTTAGAGTTTCATCCTAAAAATCAGCCAAATAAGAAGAGCATCCAGAAGTCTCCGATCAGTGGGTTGTACTTTTATATTTGGCTGGTGTAGATTGTAGAATGGCTTAACCAGATAAAGACTCATACATCTATACTCCCAACAACGAAGTGACTAAATGCAGTGCTTATGAAAGGTACCAGTTCACCAGCAAAAATGGTTCCCAATCCATCAGCTATCTGACCTGAGAGCATGACAATTGCAGCTTTTCTGTGAGTAACAAGAAGGAGAAAAGTATCAAAAATCAAACTTTAAAGTTATCCTTGCAAGGTTCTAGGTTTAATAGAATGATAGGATCTAATCTGCCTTTCCTGTTAAAAATTATGAATACTCACATGTTACAAACCAAAGATTCGATGCATTAAGACTAGAAATTAAAAAGATAAATACAGGGTTTTATAGACCCTTACAAACTCCCTTTGATGAATTTATTACTATGTTACTCTTCCTTGGTGCTTGTTCATTACTTGAAATCATATCCACTCATACAATGCTTAAGCATTAACGAAACACTAATATTATCCTTGTTTATAATAAATAAACTAATGAATCATCAAAAAAATGTTCTTGTTCAGCTTCCAAACAACAAATAATTCATCAAGACACATCATTAATCATTACAAAATTGAATGTTTCCTGAAAATTACATAGAAAATTCTCTACCATCTCTAGTGTTGGAGCATGACCCTTTTATGGTTATCATTTACCGCATAATCGAGTATTGGTAAAGATTGAGGGGCAAACCTTGGAGATAAACCAATATCTGTCAAAAAGACCAAAAGGTATGTGAACCAACAAGCAGATGTAATGTCATTGAGCATGTGCCCTACACCATACAAGGCCACAGAACACCTCCCAAGTCGTTTCTCCGATGACTGATCATCTTCACTACTGCTCCCAATCATAGTGCTTGCTACAAAGAATGTCAATACGTAAAATAGATGTGCAAAATAAAATCAACGATTAAGAGTGATGATTAATAAAACCATACGGCCAACATCATTACCCAAACGTATTGAGCATCAAAAGATCACCATAAACTCACCGTTCTGTTTGCAACTATCGTAAATTCAACTTATCGGACAAAACGAGCAAAGTTCGCTTGTAAGAGTATCACTGTATCAGGTATTTTAACGAGCAATCTCTTTTAGGCTTTTACCATACCCGGATCAACACGCAAGGTGGAATTAGAAATCGTTTATGAGCTTTTTCTTTATCACCTTCTCTCCTTGGATCAAGGAGACATGCTTACTTTTCATTTGTGTACTCGGACTAACCAAAAAGTTATTAGCGTATTAATCCAGTAGTCCGTATTGTTTTTACTCGGAACTCAAGGAAGAATATCTACAGTTCTACACGGCTCTGCTCCGCGCGCCACCATTTTTTTGTCAAGTATGTCCGTCACTAACTCCGCTACTTCTAATGGTGCTAGCAGCTATGCGCACCACCTACTTTTTTTCCCTATTAAAGTCACGAACATATATCCCGCATGTAATTACGGAGCTAGGCGATCCCTTCATTCTTCGTATTGATTTTTGAAATGGGCCTTCTGGTGTTTGTTGTTCAGCGGTTAGCGATTAGCGGATTATCAATAACGAATTCAATCAGCGGGTTTGACTATCAAAATAAATTGACGAGTTGTCGGAAGATGTTTGATAATATGGTTGTTTGGTTATAAAATTAGTGGAAAATGCCATTTTTCAAAACATCAACCCAAAACTCTCCTATTAGCAGCGTTTTCATTCCAGCGTTTCCGGCCAAAAACGCTGGTGTCGAACCGCTATTTATCAAACAACTTTTTCACTTTTTGAATACGCCAAAAGTGGTCAAACCGCCATTTTTCGACTGAAACGCCGTTTACCAAACATCCCCCTTATTGCTTCCTGAAATAAAAATAGTTTTTCATATTTCCTAAAATTTTGTGCAACATGTTTCTAAGAATAATGTAACTATCATGAAATATACTCAAAATCCTAATATAATTAGGATTACACTTTCCAACTACCATCAATCAAGTACTATATAAATATTTGGAATATGGGTGGGCACGGTCCGGTCGGCCCGGATAATTGATAAATTTTCAAGAATCACTAATCTATTTAACGGATAGGTTTGGTCGAGGTATATCAAGCCTTGAAATAGGAATCAAACCTTACCTGCTCCGTTGGAAACGGGTCGATTCGGTCCAGGTACTAGGTTCTTAAAAAATACTACTACACTAACAAAATATCTTGTAGATAATAAATTTTCAAATTAATTAAATATCAATGTCACCATAGTATAGTACAAATTCAAAATAAATATATAAAAGAAATTCTAGCTGTAGTCTAGGTTACAAGAGATATCAATTAAATTATTCAAACACAAATTAAACGGCATTCATGCAATTAAACCGACAAGAATCTAGCCATACATCATGATTAACCCCTTCATCAACCCCAAATCCCTAATTAAACTACTCACAATTCATAATTGAAGAATCAACAGAATTGAGATGAATAGAATAAATTGTCATTAATTAAAAAGATGAACTTACAAATCATCCCAGGGTCTTGGAAGAAAATAGCGTAAAAACGGTGTTAAATTCGTCCCTAGGCCTCTCCGTAATGTTCGTAACCCGTAAAAAGGGGTATGGAGGCCTTATTTATAGAAAACAGTAGAATTTGAGCTGATATAGGACAAATCGGGGCCAGACACGATGCCAGGCACGATCGTGCCTGGGATCGTGCCTACGGAACAATCGCGCGCTTCAGTTGCAGGCACGATCGTGCCTGGCCAGGACATGATCGTGCCTGGCTGGCAGTAGCTCCGCGCCTCAACCCTTTTCCAGGCACGGTCGTGCCTGGTCTTTTCTTCATCATTTTTCTTCGTTTCTTGCTCCGAATGCTCCCGAATGCTTATGAGGTCGATCCAAATGCTCTTTCTTCATCAGAATTTCGTCGTGAATCTCCCGGTGACCTCCAAATCTCTCAAATCTTCCTTGAATGCCTTCAAATCCTTCCCGAATGCCTCTCAAGCGCCGATTGCTGGACTCTAACTTCTTCAATTCAACTCCAATTGCAACGAAACTCGATCCAACGCCTGCTAAACACAACTTGAGCCAAAATTGAGACTTGCAACGCCTTAAAAAAGCTAGGAAAACCATCAAAATCCGACCCGAACACGCATCAAATGCGTGTTCAAATACGGACTTATCACTTAGCAAATTCATCCCCTAGTTCCCTAAACATCAAGACTAAGTTAGAAATATTCACGGGTAAGGAAACACAGACCATTTGGCTATGGAGCTCAATTAATTGGGTAAACAAAGAACGGTCAGGCTCAAAGTGGCTTCTCTTAAAGGACTTAATTCGGGTGGGGTGGATTATTAATGAAATATTTAAAATGGATGACTAATGCCTTCATCCTCTAAGCAACTAGGTTATAGTGCAAGCAATTTAAGCCTAGGGCTGGTTCGGTATGGTATACCGAAAATTTCACCCAATACCGTATACCGTACCGAAAATGCGGTATGGGAAATTTTCATACCGATACCGAACCGGGACTTTCGATATACCGTGTTTCGGTATACAGAAATATCGGTTTGACAAAAGGCTCATACCTTACCATACCAAAAAAACGGTATACCGAATTATTTCGGTATACCGTATCATACCGAATGAGATAAATGAATTTTAACACAAGAGTTATGTCACATCCATTTAAAAAGACCATAATAAGTGCCCATTACATAAACAAGTTTTCATGCACCATACATAAACAATTTTCCAGAATAACAAAAGACAAAAGTTAATGTTTAAATGACATACACACTCGTAGTCATCACTCATGCACCATCATCCACTCCTTAGCCTACAAAAGTTTAACTTGCTCACCACTTCCCCCTGCCAGAAAATAGAAAAGTTGAATTATAGAACAACATAATAATAATGACAATAGCAAGTAAACTCAGGGCTATATGTAAAACAATGAACTCAATAAATTGTAAACCAAGTAGTGACATCATATTCCCACTGATTCACTACCAAATACATCGAGTTTATTCCAATATGACCAAACAAGTAAGTCCTAAAACATCAAGAGCGCATTGGTAAGGCCTAAAATGTCCAAAGTGATGCAATAGGCTGAAATTGCTGAGCTTGGGCCTGAAATGGCTGAATCTGAATATATTGATTCATAGTGCTAACCAGTAAGGTTAGAAAAATTCAAATATATATAAACATTGGTAATAGGTTGATTCTATTTGTTTAATTTGTCATCACAAAAGCATAAGCCTTGCTTCTTTGCCAATCAATTTTCAATTTAATCATTATAAACTACTACGTATATATGAAGATCATAAAACGTACTTCAAAGACAGACTAGCATATACTTTGAGCTTAACCGGTCCCAAATAACATATTTTTGAGCTTAATCAGAAGTCAGATTAAACTATGAAACTTTATTACAAATAACTCTTTTTACAAACTTTATTAAACTAACGGAACAATACTCTTACTTTCGATTTATCAATCGCACAACCAATAGTCGAGTAACATTCCATTTCACTTGAGGTTTGAGAGCCAACAAAGAATATAGTATATTACCTTCAAACTCGGACATATTCCTTCAAAGTGAAAGAAGCCTGATGACAAACCGGCGTGCTCTCGCGTTATCCCTCTTCAATGTTCACTCGTTAACTAGTCAGCCGCTAGGTCATCGCAAGCTCTTGGAAGATGGACTGGTTTCGATCTGAACATTAGTCATTAGCTCTTAGGGTTATTGATTGAATGCTATGTAGACACATAGTAGAAGGTTAGTGGGCTTTGGGTTTGGAAAAGTGGGCCTTAATTTTGTGTTTTGGTATTTATTACCAACTTGAGTTTTATGTTGGGCTTGAAAATTTTAGTGGACTTCTACAATATTTAAAAAAATATAAAATAATTGTTGAATATTGAGACGGTACGGTATTGTACCGGTATACCGCGGTATTTGGAAACATATACCGTAAATGTACCAAAATAAAAAGGTACGGTATGATACCATACCGAAAATGACGGTATACCAACATTCCGGTATTTTCCAGTATTTTTCGTGCGGTATACCGGTTTTCCACTATTTTTGCCCACCCCTATTTAAGCCTAAACACTTCAAAGATGTTCTAAAACATAGCCAAAACGCTAGCCAGCTCACAAAGACACAGTTTAAAGAAAAATTTTCAAAAATTTTGACATGACTTTTCTATGAATATACAACTAACACCTGCGCATGCTAACTCTAATAATCACATGTAACAACCACTGCCCGAATGCCCAATTCACTCCCCCACACTTAAACTTTGGCATCGCCCTCGATGACCAAAAATGCACTATGCACAAAGGGGTAAAGAGGAAAGGGTCACGCGTGCTCAACTCAACTCAAGTTAAAATTTAGAAACAAGCGATTAAAAGAGTTGCAGAAACTTCCCTAAGGCATTGGTCGGTGCAGAACTAAACTGAGTCATTGTAATCCTCGGCACATCATCCCTACAACAAGACCCTGAGCTGCAACAAAAACACAAAGCAAAACAACCAAACAACAAACAAAGCAAAAGCAAAAACAAAAGCAGAAATAAGCTCGAGTTGCCTCCCAAGAAGCGCTATTTTTAACGTCGTGTGCCCGACGATACCTCATAAGCTCTCAAATAGCAAAGACTATAGTGGTGCACTAGTAATCAACGTTTCTAGCTTCCTTTCAACAAATGCCATTAGGTGTCGCAGATCTTTAAATTCTTCAGTCCACGTAGCTAGCATATGGTCTTCATAACCCTCATCAGCACAGAAATGAAGTATGAAACTCTCATCCTCTTCGGGTGGACATAGAACATGATTCGAAACTTTGATTACTCTAGGTATCACCGGAAGCTCAAAAGATGTTTCAAAGAAAGGAGTAGGAGCAACACCGTAATGAAACTGCACCATAGAAAAGTCTTCTTCATCCTCACAAATATTAGGAAAATTCACAACCTCTCCTCTGGACTCTGTATCACTCCCCATGTGATCATCCCAAAATTCATTACCACTGTTTTCATCAATGTCTTCTTGGATGATGTTGTCACTCTCCATACAAAAAGGAATATTGCATCAAGGAGTGAATCAAAGAAGTCCATATATGGAACCACGTAACAGTGGACTGGTTCATGTGTACAAGAGGGGTAATCTTGCTTGTGGGCGGGACTTCTTCATTATGGACATCATCTACCTCGCCCCCACTCTCTTGGAGCATGTAATCATCATTTCCCCACTCATCTTCAATACCCAAACCTACCTCAGTAGCATTATCATCATGAGTAATCTTCTCCTTGCCATCCTCGTTAGGTGTTGATACTAATGGTAAATCAAACGGATGGGGAGTTTCTGTATGAAAATCGCAGTGATCAGTGACTTCATCAGTTACAACTTGTACCATTTGAAACTTTTTCCTGTATTCTTGAAGAAACAACTCGAGACTACTATATTTTTGA